CACACACACACACAGCCCGGGCACCCCCGGCCCGGCATCTTGCCTGATTTGATTTCGACCGGTGCCGACACACAGCCGGCCCCGAAAGAGACTGAAGAAGAAAAGCGATTAAAAAAAAAAAAACACACCAAGGGAAAAAAAAAAAAAAAAAGGCATCGAGCCTTTTCGCCTCGGTACCAAATCCGCTATCCTGTTAAACTGGAAACCATTACCGACAGATTTAAGGCCGGGCAGATTGTTTCGTGTATGGATATTCGAGATAAACGCACATCCGCTGGGAAAACTAAACGTCTGTAAAATACTTCATTTAATTTTCATAGGGATTCCTCTCGCCCGGCTGCCAGGACTCCAAATGCCGGGGAGTAATTTGGAGGTGAGAACTCCACATCCCCCCGCCTTTGGAGGGGGAAGCATTTAACATTAAATTCCATTAGCACCTAAATTGTTTCTTAAAGACATCCGCTCAGACACAATGACTTCAGCGCGGGCATCTCATGCAAATACATTTCTCAAATTTTAAACCTTGTTAAAGCTCGTCTCGCACCTCGCATCGGGCTTAGCACTTGAGAAAACAATAGGCCCGGAGATTTTTAGCCTTTCTCCGGGTAAATATTTAGAGTGGAACTCGCTAAAATATTTGGCCGTCTTTTATGAAATAGTCTGGCACGGTTCGAGCCGGCAGGAGTAGTAAATGAATAATAGATGAGGCGGGAGGATGCGTTTATTTTTGTTCCCCTTCGGCTCAGGCGGTTTTCCATCGGGAAAGCCCGGGCTCCTTCGCCCCTCTTCCACCTGATTTGGGTGGAAGTTCCCGAGCCTCAAATCCTCCCTTCCCTATTACATAGTTTAATAAACTCTTGCAAAAGCACCTTCAATCACCTCGAGTGAGACTTTAAAAACACTTTTTTTTCCCCCGAAATGAGAACATTTTATTGCCTTGCTCACACCATTTAAATTTAATGGAAAGCATTCCCAGAAAGGGACGTTTTGCCACTTCCAACGGGATGTTGGACTAATGACGGCGTTTGCACTTATTTACATCGTTTCTCGCTCTCGGGATCCGTACACGAAAGCCACGCTCACAACCGCTGCTGAAGTTACAGGCAAATACGTTGCGCACTACAAATCTATAAGGCGTTTCGCGTGTGCGTGTGTGTATATACATATATATACACACACACATAGACACGCACGTCTTCCCGTCTTTTAGCAGGACGGCAGAATTTAGTTCGCGCTGTATTTTGCGTTTCTGCGGAAAGACCCACGCCGAGCCTCGGCACGAATCTACCTCGCTCACCCCGCAAATAAAAAGAACTCGGCAAAATATCCTTTCGAAATCTGGGAAGAAGAAGGGGTGTGTGGGGGGGTGGGGATGCCGGTGGGGAAGAAACCAAAACAAACGCAGCCGTGTGATGGAGCGGGGAAAAAAAAATAAATCTTAAACGGGATCCTTATTTTATCACTCTCGTCTCGTACATCTCTCTCTCTCTGAGCCTCTCTATCTGTTTTTATATATATATTTATATACAGACATGTAGGCACGGGCAGAGGGGGAAAATCTGCCGAAAGGAACCCGAATTACCTGTGTGCGTCCTTTTGTGAATTTTGAGGTTTTCCGATCTGGCGAAAACTTTTCCGCAGCCGGGGAAGGGGCAGGGGAAGGGCTTCTCTCCCGTGTGCACTCGGATATGATTGACCAGTTTGTATTTCGCTTTGAAGGGCTTGCCTTCGCGGGGACACTCCTCCCAGTAGCAGACATGGTTGCTCTGCTCGGGTCCCCCAACGTGCTCCACCGAGACGTGGGTGACCAACTCGTGCATGGTGCTGAAAGTTTTATTGCAACTTTTTTTGGGGTTGTTCAGCTGCTCGGGGTCGATCCACTTGCAGATGAGCTCTTGCTTGATGCACTGCTGCCGCATGTAGCGGAAAAAGGCACCTGGGTGGTGGTGGTGGTGGGCTGCCATGTTCATGCCCATATTCATATTCATGGGGCCGTACTGGTTGTGCAGCTGAGCCGCCGAGTAAGGGTCAGTCCTGGGGCTGGAGACCTGGCGGTACTGATCCGACCGGGCGAACACCTCCCCCGGCAAGCCCAGGCGCATCTGCCCGTTGAGGACGTTTTGGGAGGCGTGGGGGCCGTGCTGGTCGTGGATGCCCGGGAAGAGGAGGTGGCTCTGAGCGTCCGTGTGCGGGTGGTGCAGGCTGCCGGCCGCAGGGCCGAAGATGCCGTGCTGCCCGCCGGCCGGCGAGGAATCCCCGAAGCCGCGGCTGCGAAACAAGAAGTCCCGGGTGGAGTTGAAAGGCGCCCCGGAGTAGGAGCCGACGTGGGCGGCGTGGGGCCCCAGGGCGGCGGCGGGGTAGCCGGGCGCCTGCGAGGTGAACGCCGAGCTCTGCCCGGGCGAGAGGTCGTGGGCTCCGGCGTTGAGCTTGAAGGCGCCCATGTGAGCCGCCGCCGCCGCCGAGTCCACGAAGCTGTTCTGCGCCGCCAAGCTCAGCTCCCGGTCCTGCATCTCCGCCGCGGCCGAGTGATGGTGCCGGGCGAAGGTGCCCACGCCGAGGGCCGGGAACTGCGGGCCGGCGTCCAGCAGCATGGTCCGCGCCGCTCCGGGGACGACGACGCCTCCCCCGCTCCTACCGACCCGGCCC